CTAAAGCTTAAAAATATATATTTTAAAAAAGTTACGTATTCACACGACTGTTGATATCCAGTCAATGTAAAACCAGGCGTGTCATGTGGAAGTATGTCCACTATATGAATTTCAGAGAAATTCTTCTCCTGAACAAATCCTGACTCCTTTTTTTCTTTTTTCTCCTCCCTCACTGACAGGGCGGCTCAAATTGAGCTATTTCATGCTCTGGCAGCCATCGCTGCAGAGAATAACTTGGGCCAAGGTATCCTGGTCAAGATCAAGTTCAACATCATTGCCTCCTTGTACGACTACAACCCCAACCTGGCAGCCTTCATGAAAGTGAGTGACACTGCTTTTAATTCTTACAGTATCAACAAAACCAAAAGGGTTCCTGTGATTTACTGTAGTGTTTCATGTTACATGAAATATCTTAAAATTGCAAGTCATCACAAAAATTATTTGTGCTGTTTAACATTTTGGATTGAAAAGAATGAGTTCCTGAGTTGTGGTTCTTCTGGCTTGTCTCCTTTTTTAGCCTGACATGTGGAAAAAGTGTCTGGATTGTATAGATGAGCTGCTGGACATTCTCTTTGAGCACAACAACATCTTCATTGGAGAGAACATCGCAGAGGACAGCGAGAATCTGGCCGTCTCCGATCAGGTGATCCCACTCATCCACCCCAAGCAATCTGTGGACTTAAAGAAAGAAAGCAGTTTAGACTAATAAAACACTCACATAGCTGTTGAACTGTCTGCATTTGTATCAACTGTCTTGTGAACTATGGGCTGGTATTAATTTCTTTGTGTGTATTTGTTAGCCTTTCAGGGTGCGCGGATGCATCTTAACCCTGGTAGAAAGGATGGATGAAGAATTTACAAAGATCATGCAGAACACTGATCCCCACTCTCAGGGTGAGTGGTGCCAAAACCTGAGTGACGATTATTAATTGCTGTGAGGGTGAATGTGTTAGGACTGTAAATGTGGATTAACGGGTTGCAATCTAAAATGTGGGATTTACATCTTGAAATTTGTATTGCTGTATTTGCTGCTCATATGGATGTATTTTGCTTATTCTTTCCTCTCTTTTTTTAAAATCTTCCTTCAGAATACGTTGACAATCTCAAAGATGAGGGCAGGGTTTGTGGCATCGTTGACCGGCTGCTCACCTACATGGAGAACAAAGGCTCCACAGAAGAAATTTGCCGTGTCTACCTGCGCAGAATCATGCACACCTACTACAAGTTTGACTACAAAGCTCACAGACGCAGCCTGGGCCTGCAGGGAGAGACCAAGGTGAGAAACAGCACTGTGCAGAATCAGAACTTTTCTTGACAAACATCTGCATCATGATGCTATTTTTATGATGTTTAATGAAATGTTATGCATAAGGTGTGCTGAAGTGTTTTTCTGTTGTGTAGTCCGAGCAGGACCAGGTGGAGAACAAGCAGGAGAACAAGGAGGAGAACAAGGAGGAGAACAAGGAGGAGAACAAGGAGGAGAACAAGGAGGAGAACAAGGAGGAGAGCGAGGGAGAGGACAGCGCTGTGATCATGGACCGCCTCTGCAAGTTCATCTACGCCAAGGATCGCACCGACCGTATCCGTACCTGTGCTATCCTCTGCCACATATATCACCATGCTCTGCACTCACGCTGGTACCAGGCACGTGACCTGATGCTGATGAGTCACCTGCAGGACAACATCCAACACGCTGACCCACCTGTACAGGTAAGCACTCGTAATCATTATTTCTTCATATGAACGTGTTCTGACTCTAACTATTAGTTGTATATACAGATCGCCTGTTTTAACCGTTTTCCCCTCCTCCTACCAGATCCTGTACAACAGAACAATGGTCCAACTTGGCATTTGTGCATTTAGGCAGGGCATGATTAAAGATGCCCACAATGCACTGCTGGACATTCAGTCCTCTGGCCGTGCCAAGGAGCTGCTGGGTCAAGGTCTGCTCATGAGGAACATGCAGGAGAGGAATGCAGAGCAGGAGAAGATTGAAAAGCGAAGACAAGTAAGTGCTGTCTGACCAGAGCAGTTAACTCTAACTAACATGTTGGTCTCTCTGTCAGTGTTGACCTGCTTGTAACCTGGATTTACTCTGTGAGTGA